TGCGACTCGCGCTCAGCTTGGCCCCGCTCCAGTCTGCCAGTCCCTCTTGGCGCGGTGGAGTAGGCGCTCTCCGAGAGGGAGTGTGGGGCGGGGCCGCCTCCGTCTGTTAACGAGCAGCGGACTCGGTCGTGATTCCCGGCGTCAAGACCAGGTGCTGGCGAATCTAGGAGGAGCTGGTTAAAAACCGCGTGAAAGGGAGGAGGAGAACGTGGCTCGGTCAGGGGTGCACACTGCTGACTAGCTACTGTGTGCATAGTTTCATGTTAAGCATTTAAGTTGGATGTTCTGAAACTGTTATTAGAATTTATCTGCTGGGACAGCAATAGACCTTCTGGCTTCTGAAGAAATGAAGCTCTAGACAAATGTGCGAGGATCCAGAATACCTACAGAAAGTTCAAAAGTGCTGTATAGCTTTCCTTAGCGGTCAAGGGAAGGAGTCTCTTCAAAATTAAACACTAATGGCCCGGGGATTTAGCTCAGTGGCTCCGGTGCCTGTCTTGCAAGCGCAAGGATCTGAGTTCGATCTGCGCTACCAATAAATAAATAAAAATAAATAAAAAGCTAAGCAGGGCGTCGTGGCACACGCCTGTAATCCCAGCACTGGAGAGGCTGAGGCAGAAGGTTTGCTGTGAGCTTGAGACCAGCCTGGGCTACATAGTGAGTTGCAGGGCAATGTCAACTACATAGTGAGATCCGGTCTCCAAAAATAAATAAAAATAAATAAAAAATATAAACACTCAGAAGCCCAGGTAGATAGATTTGGCCCCCGTAAGCTATATTACTAGATCGAGATTTTTAATCCTCATAATTTTGGAGAAGAGTTTGAACTTTGTTGTCTTTTCATAGGAAAGGAATAATGCTGTCAGCATGTCTGCACACTCCATGCTCTGTGAAAGAATCGCCATAGCCAAGGAACTGATCAAGAGAGCCGAGTCACTTTCTCGATCAAAAAAGGGTGGCATAGAAGGGGGTGCAAAGCTGTGCAGCAAATTGAAGGCAGAATTAAAATTCTTACAGAAAGTAGAAGCTGGGAAAGTAGCTATTAAAGAATCTCATTTGAAAAGCACGAACCTAACACATTTGAGAGCCATCGTGGAATCGGCAGAAAACCTGGAAGAAGTTGTTAGTGTTCTCCACGTCTTCGGTTACACAGACGCCTTGGGAGAAAAGCAGACCCTTGTAGTGGATGTCGTTGCAAATGGTGGTCATACTTGGGTGAAAGCTATTGGCCGAAAGGCTGAAGCGCTGCATAACATCTGGCTGGGCAGGGGCCAGTATGGTGACAAAAGCATCATTGAGCAGGCTGAAGACTTCCTCCAGGCCAGTCACCAACAGCCGGTACAGTATAGCAACCCCCACATCATCTTTGCATTTTACAACAGTGTTTCCAGTCCCATGGCAGAGAAGCTGAAAGAAATGGGTATATCTGTGAGAGGAGACATAGTGGCAGTGAACTCTCTGCTAGATCACCCTGAAGAGCTACAGCTGAGTGAGAGTGAATCAGATGAGGAGGGACTGGAACTTCTGCAAGGGACTAGGGTAGACCGGGAAAATATCCTAGCAAGTGTTGCATTTCCAACGGAGATAAAGGTTGATGTGTGTAAAAGAGTCAATCTGGACATTACCACCTTAATCACCTATGTGTCTGCTCTCAGTTATGGAGGTTGCCACTTTATCTTCAAAGAAAAAGTACTCACGGAACAAGCAGAGCAAGAGAGGAAAGAGCAGGTTCTACCTCAGCTGGAGGCATTTATGAAGGACAAGGAGTTGTTTGCTTGTGAATCTGCTGTCAGGGATTTTCAGTCTATTCTAGATACCTTAGGAGGACCTGGGGAGAGAGAAAGGGCTGCTGTTCTAATTAAGCGAATCAGTGTAGTGCCAGACCAGCCTTCTGAGCGTGCCTTAAGACTAGTGGCAAGTTCAAAAATTAATAGCCGTTCATTAACGATTTTTGGGACGGGAGACACCTTAAAAGCCATCACAATGACTGCCAATAGTGGTTTTGTCAGAGCTGCAAACAACCAAGGTGTTAAATTTAGTGTGTTTATCCATCAGCCTAGAGCACTTACTGAGAGTAAAGAGGCTCTGGCCACCCCATTACCAAAAAATTATACAAATGACAGTGAACATTAGTGGTGTTCTTTAAACTTGTCGTGAAAATAAGTTATTTTTACCAAAGGCTGGGTCTTCCCATATAAATTGAGGGGAATAAGGTCTATAGCAAAAGTAATATAACCCTTAGGCCAGAATGTATGTATGGTACTATATTTAAAGTATATAATCCAAAGTAGATAAAGCACAAGAGAGGACCTTATTTATCAAACTGTCTACATGATAGCAGTTATAAACAATACAGCTATGTAAGACTTTAGATGTCTCATAATACTTACGTTTGATTGAGTAGGGCTGCATCTTCCCTATTGGTAATCACATTTCATGGAATATGGCTACATTGCATCTTGCATATATTAAATCTTTGGAGAAATCTCTGAAGCCTGGTTTTCATTGTATTGGTTTATCACTTGATGTGTGTTAATACTGGGATGTAATTGTGAATAATTAGGTTCTAAAGTTAATAACCATTAATGAAAAGAAAAATTTGATTACTGTGTGTCAGGCAGAGTCTGGTGGATATGTTCACAAAGAGTACATAATACAGAATAAATGAAAATACGGTGAATTCTAATCATGCAAGTGCTATGAATCTATTGATACATCTTTGTGAAAAGGATAGAAAATCCTACTCATAAAATACACCTAGGACCTGTGAGGCAAAATATCAGTTTGGATGAATTGAAAATGATATGAAATACTTGTAAAAATCAGGTTTTATTTTTAAGTTCATCTGCCCCATATTTAAGTATTTGAATTATAAATACTACCTTTCCTATTCTGTTTGCAAGTGACAAGTGACAGCTGCATTAATTTAGTCATGAAATGGTGATGGAAGAATCCACGTCAGGTGCATGACACAGGTTGTTAAAAATAATTTCCTACAGCCAAGTATGGCACACCCCTAATCACAGCACTCTGGGAGGCTGAGGCAGGAGGATGGCAATGCTGGGCATTTTATTCAGATCTTGCATCAAAATTTCAAATAGGTGGGCCTGAGGATGTAATTCAAAAGGCCCTTGGTTCATTCGGCAGTACCACACACACACACAAGTAATTAAAGAAATAAATATATAAACTTCTATGGCCACCTTGTAATTAGTGGTTTTAAAAACTTTACAATAAAGGAAAACGACAAATACCACATTTTTTTTGGTATTGGGATTGAACTTGCACTTGGAAGGCAGGTGACCTCAGCTAAATCCCTGACCCTAAACCACATTTTAAAAAGTGGCTAGGGTTTGCCACCCTGAGGGAGTGGAGTCCACAACACAAAGTATTAATTCTTCAAGAACATAATAGCAACATACATAACATGACTATTGGACATTATAGACTATGTAAAATATGTATAATGGCCAAGTACAAAGTGAGCTTTGGAGTCTGGAGTCTTTCCCTATCCTATGTTCTGACAAAAAGAGGAAAAAAAAAGTACTAGAAGTAGATGGAGGCTTGATATATTTGAGAATTTGAGCCTTGGAGCTTAACTATTAATTTATGCTAAGTATAGGAACTACTATTAGAATTTTATTTGTGTAGCCACATCCGGATTTTCTGCTTGCCAACTTTCTCATATGTGAGAAGGGGAAGTCAGTATCTAACAACACTGTTGAAGTAGAATTTGGTCTAAGAACACTAATATGAATGCAAAATTGAATGTGTGGGGTGGTTTTTTGTGGGGAGTGGGGAACTGCCTAAATGAGAATAATATTTGCTAGGCAAAAGACTGATTGGGCTTCTAATTTAGGGAGGTATATTGTCTAATGTTAGAAAATGAGGCTTTTTGCACAGCCATTAAGATGCTAAAGTAGTCATTAGTTTCCTATGAAAATGTAAATAATTGCTCTAAGGAATTAGTCTGGAGGCAAATGTAATTAGTATAGTAAATTATGTTTAAAGCACTGAAAGTATAGAGTAAGGGAGTAATTCTTGCTGTGGAATCAGGAAGTCAAAGTGATGTTTGGGGTGTTGGGTGTGAAGTCTTGGAAGAAAGGATGCTCAGAAGTCCAGGGAACCGGACTGGAAAAGTATGGAAGTATGAATATGAGGGCCGTTCCTGGACTAGGCTCAAGTGGATAAAACTAAAGATGAAGCTAGAAATGTAGTGAAAGTTGCCTAGAATTTGGCATTAGCCATTGGTGATTTTTAAGAAAGGCCTGCTTGTGATCAGATGTCAGGAAAACAACAAAAACCTAGTGTGAAGAAAGACTTTAAAGGGGGATAAAAAGAAACCATTATATTGACCACAGCCACAGTGAGAATGATGGGATGTAGTGTCATGGATGTTTGCTGGATTTGAGGCAGAATTGTGATAGTAATGTCATTTAAGAAGCATTTACTGTATTGAGTGCCTTTCATGTATCATAGTAGGAAGAGCTGGACACGCAAAAGACAATTTCTAGTCCTACTCACTGTGAATTACTAAGAACTTGGAATTTTGCTGATTAGAAAGTGGGCAAACACAGTGTTATGGAGAAATATTAGAAATGGCCACACTTGTGGCCCTGCCAAAGACCATTATCCTTTCCCAGGCACTCAGTGATTACAATTCCTAATTATGTAATAATGCAAAGAAAGGGAGGGCAGAAGTCATGGGGCACTAGGTCCTGGAAGAAATAGGCCCTTATCTAGAAACCTCGTATGCAAGACTTATATATACCACACCTAGCTGACTAAAGATAGCAATTCATAAAGGGAAAAAATGACAGTAAGAGAAAAATGTAGGAAGTTATAAAATGAGTGTCCCGTTAATATGTCTACAAAATGAAGACTGAAGCAAAGCAGAACTGGGATTTAGAAAACTGGGAAAAGTAAAAGGATGTTAAAAATATTTTAGAAGGGAATCAGCAGATAACTAAAATTTTACTGTTGAGGAAAAATACAGCAACATAATATAGGATATTAAACAAGAAATATAACTGATAGTACAAATTAAACTGAGGTAGTCATATAGGAAAAGCCAATTCAAATGGAAGGAAGCAAAGAACACAGAAAATATAAAAAGCTGCAAGGTCAAGAAAGATAAAGCAGCTATGGAAAAGTTAATTATAGGGAAGCTACACTATTTTGATAAATTTGGAAATATTGAAACATTTTCTTTGGAAATAGGCGTTTGAATTGAAATAGCTTAAGCAATGACTGAAAAAATGTTAAAGTAGTTAAGCAACTTCAAAAAATGTTCTGGTCAAGTGGGCTTCATTAAGTGTGTTTTTTCTTGCTTTTAAGTATTAAATAATCCCCTTACTCTAGGAATATGGCGCTCAACACCATCTGTGGGGTTGAAATTTTTAGCATAGTAAGTTGTGTTGGTTTATTGTTCCTCTGCTCCAAGGTTGGAACTTTAGTCTGCTCCTGTCAGAGAAGAAAGGGAGTCTGGGGGGGTGTAGCTTTCCTCACGTTAATAGTAGGCTGGTTGGGCACCACTGTGTTGGGGATGTTCCAAACTTACTTTATAGACTATGGGCATAGTGCTGGCACCCAAACTTAGAAGATAGCATAAAATACAAGATGCAACACAGTTTCAGTGTAAGAATATACGTACAAACATCCCAAATTAACCACTATGCAGATAAAATGGAGTCTAAGCAGAAAACACCTCACACTGTGGGAATCTTATTTCCAGGAGGAAAAAGGGTAGAGGTGAGTCCCAAACCTTAAGAGCAGGCTTAATCCCACTAGTCAGGATTATCCTCTGTGATGGGCCAGAATCAGGCGTGAGGCCTCTTGAGGGAGAGTGTAACCCCAACACTGCAGCATGAAGCTGGAGCCCGCAGGCCCCATGAAAGATCGTATAAACTCAGTCCAGCGACACAGCAAGGGAATTTGACTCACCTGGTTCTGAGATGAAAGAAGTCTGAGAGAAATCAAAACCTTCTTGGGCTCTACAGGGAGTCACTGTTAAGAAGTTTATAGGGGAGAACAGGGATGTGAAATTGTGTAGGAATTGGCCTTAGGCAAGTGCTATCCCTTAGACACCTGCCAGAGACATGCACAGCATCATTCTGGACTTGGGGACACTTGTATTTTCCAAACTCACAGATTGCACTAGAAAAAGTAAGTGATTGATTGAGTTGACAGTGGGAAATGTAAGGCTAGGATTTGCCACCCTGTGGGAGTCCACAACACAGAGCATTAGTTCTTCAAGAACATAATAGCAACATACATGACATGACTATTGAACATTATAGACTATGTAAAATATGTGTAATAGCCAAGGGCAAAGTGAGTTTTGGAGTCTGAAATGTTCCCTATCCTATGTTCTGACAAAAAGAGAAAAAGAAGTACTCAGAGTAGATGGAGGCTTGATATTTTTTTTTTGCAGCAAAGCTGAGTGGAGGATATGCAGCTAGTGTGTTGGCTAACATTGAGGTCCACAGGCAGACATTAGCAGGTACAGTAATGCCAAGGAGAGTTTGTCCCAAAAGACTTCTAGAGAAGATGAGCTAGGCATCCTGGGAGGACTGACAGTCCGAGATCCAGCTCACAGCCCTCACTTCCTCTGCCTGCCAGGAAACAATGAAATCCTAGTTTCCAGTCTGGCATTTCACCAGGGGAGACCAGCAACGGAATTACAGAGGAAGTCCACTTGTATCGCCCCTTCTGTGGTTAGTTGTTGGGCACCATCATGTGTATGTCAGTGAGAAAAAAGTCAAGGGATGTTGAAGTCCTCGGTGGTGACACACACACTTCCCTTGGGACTTCTGCTGTGTGGAAAACAAACGAACAAGAAACAAGCCCTGTTTTGTTTAAGTCACTGTACTTGGCTTTTTTATCACATGTAGTTGAAAGCATTTCTTACACATTTTAAGGTTTATTTGTTCCATGAAAAGAGAGGTAATAAATACATTTTCAACTGTATAGAAAACAATTAGACTATGAGTACTATGTGCCCATTCCCTACATTAAAAAATGTTATTTTGTATTATTTGCCTTATCTAAGTTTTTCTTTTGGTGAAATTACTTTACAGTAAGTTACAGACACCATGAACTTTGGCTTATATATTTCTCAGTATTCAGCATTAATAAAAAGAACATTTTTTTATGAAGCCATGATTCTATGAACATATCTAACAAAATTAACCTTATTTCTGCACTTCAACTAAAGTCCAGACAATATCTAGATTTCAAGGGATTTGCCTAGCTAGGATGCAATCAAATAACATGCAGTGTATATGTGTTTCTTTTCTTTTTTCCTTTTTTTTTTTTTTTTTTTTAATGGGGATGGAACTCTCGCCCTTGTGCTTGTGAGGCAGGTGGCAGAACTACTGAGCCAAATCCCTGGCCCTGTGTCTCTTATGTTTCTTAACTGAGTTTCTGTGTATCTAATGTTTCATAATTGTACTTAAAACCTAATGAATTTTCACCCTTCATGACTTTGGCTTTTTAAAGACATCAGGACGGTTGTCTTATAGAACATCCTACGTTTTATTTATCTGATTGTTTTGCGGTGATAAGTTGTCTTTTCTGAGAGCTCGCAATGAAATTTAAAGACTGGGTTCCTTTCCATTTAGACATTTGGGAAAGGATGCTTTATAGGTGAATCTGTGTTCCTAGTTTTCATTACACCATCGCATACAAACATATCTGCTCTTTCTACTGTAATTGGTATGAAGCATTGCCCTTTGAATGAAGTGGTAATAGCCACAGCTTTCAACTGTAAAGCTCTATTTTCCTCCTTGGGACTACTAAGCCAACTAGGAAATAGTACTTCAGCACAAGTGTGTGTTGAGCCCCAGGGCCCTTTACCTAATGATTTTAGCATGCAATGTGATTATTACTTGAATCAGTTACTCATGCTAGAGATGAAATGGTGATTTCTACAATTCTGTCATTTTCTTTTATTCTTATTACTTGTTGTTCTTCCATAAGGAAGAGCCCTTCCCTAGGAACTGGGGATATTTGGTTACCCTTCTGGAATGCAGTATATATCCTTAATTCAGTGATTTCTCAGAATAAAGAGTTGGTGTAATAGTCACCTTCAACAACATCAAATTAATATTTTAAAGAAGGCATTTGTGCTTTTTACTTTATTGGACTCCAGTTATATTTCATGTGCACCAAGAAATTAGACTTACTATTTTTAAAATAAAGTTTTATTATGAAATAATTGTTATATATTTACATGCAATTATAAGAAAGGATGCTGAAAAATGATGTAGCTTCCCACAATGGTAACATCTTGAGAGGAATAATTCAGGACCACAAGATTACTAATGCTGCTTATGTCAAAATAGAGCACATTTCTACCACCACAGGATCTCTGATGACACTCTTTCATTCATTTTTCTTTTTGACTTTTTTTTTTTTTTTTTTTTACCGGACCGGGATTGAACTTGGGTCCCTGTGCTTGTGAGGTAGGTGGCAGAACCACTGAGCTAAATCTCCGGTCTCATTTATTTCTTTTTGATACTTTAGCTGTTTTAACTATTCAAATTTTGGCCAGTAGAAACCCCTGCAGGATCATTGTGTCTTTCTGACATAAGCCCCTTTGGTTCTATACTTCCTGGCAGAATAAGATGTCTCAGAATTAACTATACTTTTCCTGATGGAGACCTGAAACACACTTTTTTCAAGGAGTCTTTGACATGTCAGGGGAATATCCCAGGGTTTGGGACACACAGTGTTATGAAGGTGACATTGTTCCTGGTTCTTAGGAAGCACGAACACTGAAATTTGAGGTCTGGGGATGTTGATCCGTGGTGGAGCATTTGCTTGGCATTTGTGAGACCCTAGGTTTAATCTCAGAATTGCCTGGCCTCACAGAAGGACATGTTTATTTATATATTTCACAGTAATTCATTTGTATTGATAAGTCAAGTCAAAATTATAAGATTTTTACTTAATATTAAATTTAACTTTTGGATCTCTTGTACTGCAAATCCTTTTTCCTAATATAGCAACTTAATTTCTTTATGCTATGATACATGTACAAATCTTCAAAATCTGATTATTACTGTTTACAAGAAAGTTGCTAAATGAACGCACACATTTCTGTTTAGTTCTTCTTGTTCCTAACGTCTTTTAAGAATACACGATTAAAGTTCTATTTTAAAGGCATATTAATATGTTTTATTTTTCCTTATGGAGCTTATTTGCTAATTTGCTATTTACTTAGATTCACTTGTTTCTCTTTGTTTTCAATTTAAGAGTTATCTTTGAGTTACTTTTATTCTTTAATATATTACAAAATGCATAGGGTTCAAAAATTAAAAATTACCACAAGTGTACTGCTTTTCAATCTCTCTCCATGTCATTTCCCCACTCTTCGCCTTCTCTCCTTTTTGCCTCCCTCTCCTTTCCTCTCTTTTCTTTCTTTTCTCGCTTAAACGTAGCACAAATATTCTTTTCTATTTCTTTCCTTTGTAAGAGGTATTATTTAACCTTTTTAGAAATTTGCTTTTTTTTTAAATTTAAAAATACAGGGCTGGGGCTGTAGCTCATGCCTAACATGCTCAAGGCCTTGGTTTGATTTTCAGCACTACTAAATAAATAAAAATAAATAAGCAAATAAAATAAAATAAAAATATAAACTGGAGAATGGACATTAGATGGGGTCCTTGCAAGCTTGTGAAAGGGACTCTACAGTGTGGAATTGCCACAGTTTATCCAGCTGCTGCCACCTTGATGGATGTTTGGTTTCTGCCCAATCTTTTGCTTTCATAGATTGGGACACAGTAGATACCTAGTTCATAGCTGGTGATTTGGTCAGGTTTTACTGTTTGACCTTATGGAAATGAGAGTAACAAATAAGGATGTCTCTGTAGCCACACATTATCAGATTTACCTCACTGGGGAGTTTAATATATTTGCATTGTCTGTAGGAATGTCAGGAGAGTGACTGCTTCCTACAGCCTCCAGAAAAAAGTGTTTTCACATTGCCTGCTTGTGTTTTCATTCATCTATTTACTTCCATTCCCCATTTAGGAATACATTTGAGAGTCTTTTTATTTGTTTAAGGGCCATTTCCATTTCTGTTTTAATTTTACCTTTTGTGAATTCTTCACTGTCCATAAAGATTTATCTTTTTGATACTGTTGTTTATATCTCCTGTTTTTGTTTGGTCTATTTTTTCTATCTTAGATTGAGAAATTTTGAAATCTAGATTTTTTTGAATATTCAGTAGTTTGTTTTATAAAAGTTGTCATAAAGTTGATGTGTAAAGATGTGAATTGTAGCCTTTATCTGCTTCTTTGTCATTCTCAATACTTTCTATATCTTATCTAATATCTAGATCAAGACCTCCATATCAGTCTTAGCATCTGCTTTCCACACCTTTCCCTCTGTCACACCAGGCAGGTAGAGCTGTTGCAGAGTACCATGTCCCAACTTGTCAGTTCCAGGAAGTCTGAGTATAGCTACATTTCCCTCTGTTCCAGGAAACATCTGTATGTTTCATCATCAGTAAAAACTTGTTCCCAGGAGCATGGGCACACTATCTCTATCCCCAGATTTCTCTGCAGTGACTCCTCCGACCAAAACCTGGCAACCACCTCCAATGCCCAACAACCCCTCCCCCTTAAAAACATCTTTGCTGTACCTTTGCTTGGGGCTGACTCTCTTTTCAAACTCAGCCTGCTTGCACCAAGTAAATTAAACAGCCTCATTCACACAGAGCCTGCCTAGGTGGTCTTTCTGCTCTCTTTACCTTTAATACACCCTCCAAAGGGATTTCTACTGGGATTATATTGAATCCATAGACCAACTTCAGGAGAATAGGCATTTTAAGCCTCTAAAGGCTTCCATCTATGATTTTTCAAACTTTTTCTTTTCTTACATTTGTATTTAGAGTTATTTTTAGTCTTTAAAGCACTCTTTGGTACATACTTCAAGTTTGGTTTATTGCTTTTTTTTCTTTCAGATCACAATATTTTCTACTTCCTGTTGTCATTTATTTCTTAATTTATAGGTAATTTGAAGTGTGTTGTTTTTCTATCCATCTTCTTGTTGCTGAGTATTTAATTCCATAAGGGTGAAAGAACATGTAAAATGTATAGTCCAAATTATCTGAAATTTGTTGAGTCTTGTTCTATGAGCCTATTACTTGGTCTGTGGCAAGTGTCTCATGTGCAATTCATATGCATATGAGTGGTATACACGTACATACAAGTTTCTGTTGAAAATTTCCATAGACCTACTTTGGCAGTTAATTTTGTGTTGACTGGACCACAGTGTACCAAGATAACTGTTTAAACTTTATTTTTGGGTGTATCTGTGAAGTTGTTTTTGGATAAGATTAGGATTTGAAAAGGAAAGATTGAGTAAAGCTGAATATTCCCCTAATGTGTGTGCTGGGATCTCTTGATTAGAATCGATGTCACTGAGGACACAGTGAGAAGGTGTCATCTATTAAGCAGGAGGTAGGACCTCAACAGACACTGAATTTGCTAATGTTTTGATATTCTACTTCAAAGCCTCAAAATTGTGAGAATATATTTCTGTTGTTTCTCATCCACTCAGTTTATGGTGTTTTGTTACAGAAGCTTGAACAAACCATGACATTGTCTATTGATATTTTCTCTTTCTCCTGTACTTAACTAAGATGTTTGATTTTTTTCTCTTGGTTTTAAAATCTTGTTTATATAAATTAATGATTAGTTTATTGTTACATAACAAACAATTTCCAAATTTTGTGGCTAAAAATAACCACCATTTTGTTAGCTCATGATTTTATAGTTTAGCAACTCAAGCAAAGTATGACTGAGTGATTCTTCTGCTCCAACTGACATTGGCAAGAGTCACTCAGTGGTGCTTAGCTGGAAGCTGGTAGGGTTTGGAGATTCTAAGATGGCACCACCAGCATGACTGCCATCTTGGCAGGAGTGTCTGGAATGCTGTGCTCAGCTGAGCCCTCTTTTGCCCTGTGAGGGCCAAGGAATCTTCACGTAGTCT